ACGAAGATTGCTCGTGGTCATCACGTGATATGATACCTTCTGCAGCATGGTGTTTAATACCTGTATCACACGGGCACGCAAAAAGTCTTTTTAAGTAAGCGGTCTTTTACGAAGTTGAAAGACTTTTAACAAAGAGGTGTTGCGGCGCAGACACACGGCAGCAAGGATCTCCTTTTAGTGTTTTCGTTCGAAGACGCTAGCGAAAGCGAGGCGCTAGCAGTTAAAAGAAAGGCAATGAAAATTAAACGATGTATCACGATGTACAAATTAAAGACTTGTTGCACTGCTCGTTTCTTCAAATAAATTTAGGAATAAGAGATGAAGAAACACCAATGGGAAAGTTTGTTGCACTATAGTTAAGGAAGCATTCCCATAACTAGCGACGTGCACAAGTCCGTCTGGCACCCCTGGGCTTTTATTTACCGTATTTGTTTTTCGCTGCTCTCGACTGCTCACGACACGTTATGGGCGACCGTACGGAAGAAAAAGCGAGGATCGCAAGCCTCACGGCCTGCCTTCTCCCTCCGGAAAGCGAGGCAGACGCTGCAAAAGCCGCCAAGGAGAGGATCAAGCAGCAACTGCTGTTCAGCAATTCCTTGCTGTGCGCACTGGAGCTGTCGGAGAAGGCCTGCGATCGATCGATCTGGGCCTTCAGACGAAACGAGAGGTGGTTCGAGGGAACTGTACCTCACCTCGGTGAGCAGAACTTCAAGCAATCTTTTCGAGTGTACCCGTCCACTTTTCGTTTCATTGTGGAGAGCTTGCGCAGTGAGCTCGAAAGACAGTGCACCAGCATGCGTGAAACCATCACTCCTGAAAAGCGAGTCGGCATTGCCCTATACAAGCTTGACCACTTGACACGACTGTCACGCTTTCCTCTCTTGTGCAAAACGGCGCGGCGCGAGACCGAGCGTCACCACGTGATATTGCCAACGCGTTGTAGCTGCTTACGAGAGTATAAAAGGAAATAACCATTAAAAGAGTTCATTACACCTTCTGCAGGATATGAAATTTGTTTTTACAAATAGTTTTAGCGACAGAAAAATGAGCATTCGCTCTTTTTTCCCACCACTCGAAAATTGCTGGCGCCCACTGGTTTCGAGGCTACTCATTCGGAGCCGTAAAAGAGATCGACGAACTCCGTTTACGAAAAAGACCGCTTCTGAACAGGAGTTCGCTCTGTGCCGTGTGTCTGCTGTCAGGAACTCCTTTTCGGAAAAAGACCGCTTACTTAAAATACTTTTAAGTGCCCGTGTGACAGGGGTAATATATAGTATATGACATGCCCAATGAACTTATTGATTGTATTGTTATGGGCTAGTTAGTGAGAGCCAACACTAATGACGCAGAGAACGAAAGATTTGTTGACTAACAATTAAACAGGACGAGCACAATAACCCTACTGATCCTAATGTGTATTACTTTTTTTACGTTAAGCAAGCTACAGTGTGGAAAGAGTTTAACGTGACACCACTTTCCATTTTGGTTCATGGCTTCGGTGGGATTCTATTATGCTTATTGCTTAAGACTTTTTCAGGAAGGAAGGCCTCCTTAAATGCAGAAACGCCACACGTACGTTATTCAGTTTCGTGCATCAGGTCACAACTTTCTCTTAACTCACAAATTTATAGGCGCTAGTATTGCGCGCTTACTTGATTTTCGGAAATTTCGGATACACCACCAGCGATGCTCTCTCTCAGCTTTCAGCAACATCAACGATCGCCCAACGTCTTTGTTGATAGTAGTCTGTCACTTTTGGCTGTCCGCGTTGCCGTGGATACCACAATTATGACCTTCTATGAAAGCTTCTTGATTCAGACCCCGTGTTTTTGTCACGTGGCAGAGGTCGACTTCGCGTGTTTCCTCATGAGCAGGATATTTGCCACGCAAAAAACCTATCGATTTGAATTGTCATTACGCGTATTTGAAATATGTTCTCCTGGAGTCAATATGCGGTGTGGACTGCATATTTTATCGCTACAGGAAACAACTTCATTTCGAAAGACTTTCTTGCGAGCAATATGGACAGTTTCACAACAAGCTTAGTTGTTAGTGATGTCTAACATGCCAGGCAGTGTTTGACTGGAGTTTGCCGTTACGGCGAAGGAGGCGCGTGATGCGATTCCGACAGTCATGTTGCAATGATTTGGTGTTAGTGTGGCATTCACCAGGTGTGCGCGTCGTGAAGAAAGAAGATCGGGGCTTGGACAAGAAGCCAAACTATGAGAAAGACTGCAGCTCCACAGCGTGCATGTTTCAGGCGCTAATATTCTCTGCAAGCATTGATCATAGATGTAGCATCTCTATGGTGTAAACTCACTGTATACATGAGACATGTGCGCAGGAAGTGCAACTATTGAAAGAGAAGCGGATGTACGGTGCCCCGCCGCTTTGATCAATGAAATTTATTTTATTTGGATCATATTTTAAAACACTTCAGATGATTCAGAGTTACGTTAAAGTGTTTATGTATTCCAGCCGTTTCATATGGTAGTCGAAATAAGCCACAATGCAAACGACTCGCACGTTGTGAAAACTTGGCTGCGTACTCCTGACCACGTGACAGATTTCTTTGTTGTCTTGATTAATTAATTGATTGATTGATATGTGGGGTTTAACATCTCAAAACCACCATATGGTTATAAAAGACGCTGTAGTGGAAGGCTCCAGAAATTTCGACCACCTAGAATTTTTTTAACGTGCACCCAAATCTGAGCACGTGAGGCTGCTTTGTTTTCTTCATGGGGCAACGTGCGAGACGACGAAGCTCAGTTTGCAGGTGTTTATTGAGGATAAAGTTCACTGATACTCTCCGTCTACACGTTCAAATCAAGACGCAGTTTAAGGTTTCTTACCTGGTTTAAGGAAACGAGAAATGTTTTATAGCCAGTGGTATCACTGTGCTGCCTTAAAGGGAAGGACAATTTGGCGCCGCATTTAAGTTGATAACAATGTTGCCTTGGCCGTGTTGCGCCGTAGTTCGGCGGCAGTCTCCATTCGTTCATCAATTGACATCGTCTTGGAGCTGGAAAATTGAAATAAGCAAAAAGGATACTTAAGGATAGCAATGTGAAGACCTTTTTATAAAAATAATTGGTTAAAGCAACCTTTGAGAAACAAGGCTTCACCAGCCGAATATGATCTCAAGCTCTTCATATCAAGATGAAATAAGTACTAACAAGATCAACAACCTACCTCACTCGTCAGCCAGCATATCTATCTATCTATCTATCTATCTATCTATCTATCTATCTATCTATCTATCTATATTGTGAGCACTATTTGTGTTGTTCGTCTTCTCACCTGTAAATACTCATCAGCACCGCTTGGGTCTTGGCAGAGGGGCTTTGGCTCGAGCGTAAATAGATAAGAGTTTTGGAGGCTGAACGTTGTCTCACTATATATATATATCAATCATAAAACTCTTTCTTTCAGTCATGTGTGTCACATACCCGTAAAGCATGGGCTGTGGGTATGCGCCTCAAAGTAGGCATCTATCAAAGTAGGCAGTGACAACAGACAAACATGGGAACCTTTAAAAATCCGGTACCGGCAGCATTGACCCGATGACTGCAAAGCATAACAATCAAGACTTCAGCAGGAATCGAACCAAAGATTTCGGGTGGCAGTCCCGTATTCTACCATGGAACCCCGCGATGTCTTTATAATCTTCTTTGCAAAAGGCACTGTGAAGACATCAAGTCGGTGGAAAACTACAATGATTGCAGTGCAAGCTATCTAAATTTACAACAAGGAGATAAGCAGTGCATTTTTGCTCCTACTATACAGACAAACGTCATGTCGGGTTAACACCAATGTGGCTTCAGTGTCAGCTCCACTCTTATAACACTTTTATAAGCATTATATACGCACTCATATCACTCGGCAAGCTATAATCAAGCGTTGTTGGACAACGGTGGAATGTGCTGACGAATGATATTCACATCATCGCACCACAGCGTGCACTTCGTTTCCAGTATAGTTATGTCAGTTCCCTGACATTATTGATGAGGTGTAGTCAGGACGCCAGTGTAGTCGACCACTACTACCACATTTACAGGAACACGCCGATGCACCCCATTAAGCCTGTGCGAAGGAAATAGTCGTGCCCACTATTGCGCATGCGCATTGCTCCAGGAGGTAGGTCTGCGTGATGTCAACAGAACAGCCAGTCTGCGTTCGTACTTTCCCATTCTATACTCTTCTGTCTTATCGCAAATTCAACTTAAGTTGGGTGTCTAAGCGTGTCCCATAGCTCCTAATTAAAATTATACCTTGAAGCACACCGAACACGCAGACAAGAAAAGACTAATATTTTAATCATAAGCGTCGAATAAGGACCCAGCGCGCCATGCTAGAATAACTCGCGATCTACGGCAGCTGATAAACGCTGCAAATGAATGATAAACGAACGATACGCTTGCCTGGCGGCTTGGATGGCGTACATTCACTATCTTCAAATGTGAAAGCCTATGAGTGGTGGTTGAACTATTGGCCACAGTAGATGTGGTTGAAAAATATAACACCACAGAACATGGGCGCAAACAAAATGTCCCTTTATTCGAGTGATAGATTCCAGAGTCGGTCGTCTTGCGTGATAAATTACACTTACCATTGCATACCAAGTAAGGAAGCACTATTCCTGTCGCTTGACTCACAGTCGTGAGTGAAGATACACAGTTTTCGGTAGCTCAGTCGAGGCCTCGTCACAGAGCTAAGAACTTGAACAGATGTCCGCTAAGCAGGAGACTACACACGGTGAACTTCAACTGATTACTCGCTGCCCCGCCGCGGTGGTCCAGTGGCTAAGGTATTCCGACTGCTGACCCGCAGGTCGCGGGATCGAATCCCGGCTGCGGCGGCTGCATTTCCGGTGGAGGCGGAAATGTTGTAGGCCCATGTGCTCAGATTTGGGTGCACGTTGAAGAACCCCGGGTGGTCGAAATTTCCGGAGCCCTCCACTATGGCGTCTGTCGTAATCATATGATGGTTTTGGGACGTTAAACCCCACATATCAATCAAATGATTGCATGCTGGAGCATGGGCCAGCATACAATGGAGAATGGACCAGTAAATGGGTGGCAGGTTCTTTAAAGAAATGAGCTATGAGGTTAAAGAAGAGCTAAACATTTAGAATTAAGAAACATGGAAGAAGTGACAGTTGAACAGAGGTACTTGGAATACTTTGCTCGCAGTAGCTTGTAGAGTAGCTTGGCTTTGGTGTACAGTGGGATGCCCGGTATTCATGTCTGGTGAAGTGAAGTGGTGCAGCATGCAGCTTCACGAAAAGATGGTGGTCTGTCGAACAACGTCGTCGCAATGCTGCAAATGCAACAAAGGGAAGAATAGTTTAAAATTTTGATATTCCCGCATAGCGAGCAACAATGTTTCACTGGTTATAATCTCTGGATGTTATCGATCCAAGCGAATCGCGACAGCTCATTGACGTTCCGAAACTCAGCTGAACTGATTTCAAGGGCACAAAGATAGACGTAGGGCTTGCAAGAATCTTTAAGCATGACGTATAGTTTGTGGCGGGGGTGGAATAACTTGTACACTCACGCGTAATTTGTACAACTTCGCAACGAAGGAGTCGGAGCAAAACACTGTGCTTAAAGCATTCATGTTCATTTAAACGTAAGTGAATTGGGACTCGGGTATCCTATAGGTATGCGTTAAATTCAGCGTTGATTAGTCATGGCGCACCAATAACTGTAATTAAAAATTAACATATGCAGCCGCGTCTCTGATGAAAGAAAATATACCTGTTGCTGATGCAGGCTACCAGGTTAATACGCTTGAATTTACTCACGATAGAGCAACCGAGCCGGATTGAGAAAAGATAGCTGATTGGCCTAAAAACGTACTTACGGTTTGAAATCTATGGCCAAAATGACGGTAAACGCGGCTGCTTTCTCCAACGAAGACATGCGTGGTGGGCTCACGGCCCCGTCACGGGAACAACTGGAGGACACCAAAATGGGCCGAGGTCAGGTCTTCATAGACGCCGCAACGGAAGGATTCGGGCCGTGAGCCCAATGTCCGCCGGAGCGAGTTTTGGAGTAAGGGCGGAGGTCCCTCGGACGCCTCGTGTATTGCCACGCACGGCTTTTCGTGCCAGACAACGAAGAAGTAAGGCTTGAAGTCTCTGCTTCTTACTTCGTCAGGCACGATTAGGCAGGTGCAGCAGAGGGTTGGCGTTGTCTTGGCGAAGCAGCCGTAGACGCGCCGTTGCCGCATTCTTAAAAGGATGTCGTAGATGACCACGTCGTGCTCTTTCTTCTGGTCGATGCGATAGATCACCCAGCGCCGTATGACACCCATAACGGCCAGACAGGTGTACAAGTGAGCTGCGAATTGCAGTCGCTCTTGCACTTCGTTTATGGATCGCAGGTGGGCGTAAACGACCTTGACGGCCTCCGGTAACGATTTATCGCCGATCTTTGGAGCGTCAGGGAAGTCGTCCTCGTTGTCCAGGCATCGCAATTGCTCTTCCGGCACCAACCAAAGGTGCGAGCACAGCACATCCAAGTACGCCATTGTTCTATGAAACGTTCGGCTATAGAGCTGAAATGAACTCTCACTTCTCTTGCTATGGTGGCCGGAACCTCGGTCGTGTCCCTTTTTCGTGGCGCTGATGCGACCTATAAGTGAGAGATGATGCGGCCTCCGTCCTTCTTCAGCTTGCTAGATGTCGAGGCTGACGTTGAAAAAAAAAAAAGAGCATACCGGTGGGTGAGGCGTCCGAGGATACTTCTTTCCTCTTTTTCAGATGAGCGGAGGCAGTCTACTTTACTCGAACCTTACGAGGGTATTGCCATGTACTGCCTCACCAGAAGGGCTTAAATGTACTTGCTTACGCAGGAGCTGGTCACGTGTTTGATAACGAATTTAGGTTGAACGAGCGTCACTGTGACACGTGGTGAAGCCCTGCGTAACCATGTACACGAGGCGTTCATAAAAGCCATGGCCTCTCATATATTTATGTTTTTCTGCTTTATATAGACAGGTTGTACGGTGACATCGATGACGTAGTTTTATAACGTACTGATTCAACAATATCGCGGCGTTGGTGACCTAAAGGCAGCATAATCGAATTACACATAACGTGCTTCAATATGACAACGATGTGGTGAAACTGCTGTTCGTATCTGTGCGTATAACAAAAATGTGGGAAGTGATGCAACGATAACATTAACGCGACGTTAAAAGTATTGCGTCCCACCACGCAGTGCACCAACATGGCGGCTCCAGTGACAAGCCAGCTACATTGACAATGCCTACTTTGTTTTTGTTGTCAATTGATTACACTGAAGGATGTTCAATCTAACGAGTGTCAGTGGAAAGGCTTTTTAGGAAGACCTTCTATTCGAAGAACCGTTTTACATATACACTCAACACTATTCTTCTGAGTTGCGAAGTGGATAAAACAATTCACTGACGGTCACGAAACTGACAAATGTGCATTCGGAGCGCTGGTTTGGGTAGCCGTGACCCCGACTGCATTTGTACTTTTGGCTTCTGGCAAGGTATCTATTGTGCCATAAATCATCATTACTTTAAAAAGCACAGCACCTACTACGCCTTTATTCGTCTTTATTTGTATAAGTGCATGATGTATTCGCTACTTACCTGTGAGGCATTAGGGGCACTTTATCCAAGCGGCGTGTGGTTGATGATGATGATGATGATGAACAATGGCAGAGTACAATAGAGAGGGTGAGAAACATTAATTGGCACACTAGTTACACAATATGGACTTTGTGGTGATTTGTTGTTATTTCATTCTTCTGCAGCTGTAGTACATAGCTTTACGCGATTCCTTGCCGATAGGACTCGTGCGCAGGGTTTCTCTTTTTTTTTTTACAAATGAGTTTCAAGCACAATCATGACTGTGTGGTTGAATTCTCAACTTCCATGCAGAAGGTGCTCGTTGAAATCCTAGGTATCTCTTTTGTGATTTTATTTTGTAAAGTCTATTAGTAACGCCTTCGACTGCAACGGTGACGCTGCTTGACGCAGGAACGAGCCCTTTAGCAGCTGCTTTCCAAAAACACCAGCCCATCTGAAGGCGTGGTTAATAAGCGACAATCGTATCTTCACAAATCACCGACTTTTTTTTTCAATGATATCAGCACATCACAGTTCATAGTTTCAACACTAGCTTGCATAACTACGAACATCGCACGCACTGGTGCGATGGTAACAAAATTTTCAGAGTTGTCTGCCAAGGCGTGACTTCGCAATCTCACCGTGGATTTAGCACGAGGAACAACGTCAGGTATTGTCTAATTGACGCGTGAAATGCGCGGATCGCTATGTTGCATTGTGTTCGTGCCGGTTAACAGTTGTGTGGCCTATGTGCAGCAATGTCAAGTAGAATGCTCGTCAGTTGGCATAGACCTATAGGGAAGCATTTCTAGTGTCGCAATGCAAATGCTTGCAAGCGGCAACGCCGCAGTCCGTTCTATTTCGCCTCTTTTATTTATCGTAACTTAGTGCAAAGGAGAGTTTACTTGTGAGAACGATCATTGATTATGAGGCACATCGCAGATGATGGGGCTACGTGACCGAAATAAAAACTGCGTCTTTCGGGCCAGCGGCCGAGTTTTCTTTTCTCCCTGTTAATAAATAGTATGTTGGCCATTCACAACACACAAGGCATCTCACGGTGGTGTCGTGTACAAGTGTCGTCAAATGAAACGCGAACAGCCGAGTGCGTACCGCAGGGATGACAGACGGTGTAGTGTGCACCCTCCAGTAATCTCCCTAATCAGGTGCCCTCCACAACTTCGCTCTGGCAGCATTGAGCGATTCCCGTAGAGTCCAATAATATAGGAGCTTGGTTTCTAGTCTCCATAGCTCGGTCGGCAAGTGTACACCAGTGTTGTCTGTATAATAAAATCTGGTCGCTGCTCCGGTCGCCTCTGGTGATTTCAGCAGTGCTGCTCTCTAGATGGCGCGCTGCCGCCCAAGGACGAGTACAGGTACCTCGGTGTCCAACTCAGTACGTCAGGGCAAGTTCTAGACGTTCACGAGGAAAACATCCGCCAAACATCACGCAAAGCGGCAAACGTCATGCGCAAACGAATCTTTGAGGCTGTAACCGACTCCTGCTGGTTCGGGAAATGTGGAAGTGTGTGCATGTCCCATGCTTGTCGTTAGCCAATGTTGTGCTAACCTTCCAACCAGGAACCAGACAGTGGCTGGAATGAGGGCAAGCGGGAGGTTGGTCTACTGGCCTTGGAATGCCACGGACGAGTTCCTATAGAGGCCATTCAAGGAGACGTTGGATGGCCTTCGTATGAGGCCCGAGAGGCCAGGAACAAGATAGCCTACGAGGGCCGCCTGCGTCTCATGAATGACAACAGGTTGGCAAGACGCTTGTTCCGATACACCTAGCCTGACTGGACTAACGACACAGTGGACTGCGCGGGTGTACATCCTGCGCCGAAAGTTTGGTTTCTTCCAGAAACCCGCGAAGGCAAACCCAGAGTGCGGATGGACCCGTCCAAGAACAGATACGGGAGGAAGAGAACGAGCAGTGGCGGAGGGCGATGCGTTCCAAGGCAACCTTGACGGTATATCGAAGTTGCAAGAATGAAATAGAAAATGAGCACATGTGCGACAACAATGGCAGTAGTGGCCTTCTGTTCGAAGCGCGGGCTGTGGTACTACGAACACTTGTGTACCATCGCCGATTCGACGAGAATACCGATGACGCGAGTGCGATATGCCGGTTTTGCGGGCAGGAAGAAGAAGCCATCCCCCATCTAATGCTACGCTGTACGTGTTTGGGCCCACGCCAACGAAAGGGCACCACACTGCCCGATGCTCTGGGGTTTGTTCACAAAGATGACCCGGAGCCACCCACAGGCGATGGAGCGGCTGGTACAGTGAACTATGCGGCAGTACGCACCACGAAAACAAGGCTGGTGCAGTGGTGGCGTGCGACGCAGCGGTAATGATTTATGTGGACAAAATTGAAGGTGTGCAGATGCGGGTGTGTACGCCTATGTGTTTTGTTTATTTACTTTTTAAGTGTTTTTTTCTCTGGCTAGGGCAGATTAATCCGGCCCGTCTGTTACAAAGGGTTCAGCCTCAAATCATCATCATCAACAACAACCTTCTGTGGAAATGAAGAAATGGCTACGTCGGTGGAGCTGCTGCTCCTGTACTCCTCCGCGAAGTAGTCCGGTTCGGCTCGCGTTTCGAGGGACGGCCGCTTTATGTACTCCCACTGCACACAATTCGATACGCCTGCTATCACAGCTATTTGTGAGAGAAATTCGACACAAGCTCCTTCGGCGAGTCGTCGGACTTGCTGGACGGTGAGGCGCCCTCACCTAAAAACGAAGGCGCCATTTTGACTGCGAGGTGCACCTAAAACGTACGACGTTTTCAGACGCGCAAAAATGCAAAATTACTGTTCAGAAAGCAACAATAGTGGTATCTCCGCGGCGCGTGCAGCGTCTCTATATAAGCAGCATCTAGTATAAAATAATGTTGATCGTTTTTATTACTTTCACCCGGAAAACACGGACACATTCGTGGCGCTATAATTCTACAGCGGGGGCACATGCCCACTTTGGCTCCGTAGGCTTCCCTTCAGTGCCACAGAAAATCGTCCCCGAGTTTGTTTGTTTGTTTGTTTGTTTGTTTGTTTGTTTGTTTGCTTGTTTGTTTGTTTGTTTGCTTGTTTGCTTGTTTGTTTGTTTGTTTGTTTGTTTGTTTGTTTGTTTGTTTGTTTGTTTGTTTGTTTGTTTGTTTGTAGCCTAGAATCGATGGATCATACCCACTCTGGGGGATTGGCCAAGAGAACATATAGTCTCATATGGACGATGACTGCACTATTGCTTACAACAAAAAAAGGGGGTGGGGAGTTGTAAAGTGAAGACAGTATATTAAAAAAAGAAAGAAACTAAAGATTCAAATAGTGCGAAAAAAAATCAACAAGAAAGTAGACACTAATAGCTATACCTTGATTATGGGAGCCGACCAGACAGGTGGTTTGCCAAACCCGATTAATTTGGTATGTCACGGATTTATGCAGATTTGAAAATTACTTTTCGACCCGTTTTTTAGTACCAGTTAACGTGGGTTTTGTGTTGAAAAACGTGTAGAGTCTTGAATAAAATTACACACCGCATCGAATGTATCTCTGTGGCAATTTCCCAGAACGGAGGCACCAAAATTTACAACATTTTTTGTGGTTAAATTTAAACCTAGCTTCGCAAATGGAATATCTAGAAGTCGTTTCCTAATTATAGCATAGTTCCGACATGAGCCAAAATAATGCTCAATAGTTTCTGATTCTTCGCAAAACGGACAAAGGGGGGAAAGTGTCAGACCAGCTCTGTGTAAATAAAAATTCAATCGGGGGACACGGCACCGCAATCTGGAGATTATAATTTCAAGTTTTTTTGACGGCACTCCACTAGGCTTTCCATGGAAATTTGAGGTGCTGATAATCTAGTCCATTGAGTGATATTTTTGAACTATCTGTCAAAATAGCGAATTTCCTATATAACCCCTGATAAGTATTCTAACACGGGAAGTACTGAAATTACTGGTCCATCAAGTGATGCTCGTGCCAAAGCATCTGCCAATTCATTTAATTGTATTCGCAGTGACCTAGGACCCACACTAATTTGAGGAGTTTTAAATGCGGCTGGTGCTAATGTGTGGAACGCTGCTAGGGCACGTCCCCGAGGTGATGATGATGATGATTCCCCAGCCATGGCTCGTACCCACTCAGGGGGACCTGGCCAAGAATCGATGACTTAATTCAGTAGATTTTTTTTTCAATATCGAAACTACCCACCGGAAAAAAGCAAGAAAAAAGAACAGACACCCTTAGTACTTCCACTTCGTTCTCAG